CCACAGCCCCCGCCCTGCCCCCCGAGCTGCCCTCAAGGACGGGTACGTCTGTGAGAGGCGGCAGGGAACGGCTGGGGGACACCGAGATCTGCTCCAGCGCAGGGTTGGGGTTACAGGCTCTGTGTCCCCTTGCCCTGTCCCCACGGGTCACCCCTGGGCTGACTCCCTCCGCACGGCAGGTACAGCGCCGGCTCCAGGGTCGTGCGGTTCGTGAAGGCCAAGAGCGCGGGGCTGCGTCTGGCGGGCGGCAACGACGTGGGCATCTTCGTGTCCAGCGTGCAGGAGGGGAGCCCGGCCCACAGCCAGGGCATCCGCGAGGGGGACCAGATCCTGCAGGTACCGGGGGCTGGGAGGGGCTCCGAATGCTGCCTTGCCCAGAACTTTTGGGTGTGATCACCCCTGCTGGGCATGGTACCTCCCCGGCTTTGGGATTCCTCCTGCTGGGCATCGTTTTCAGTCAGTGCTGGCACCCATAACTTGTACCTGCTGGGCTGGCTCTGTGGGCACTGTCTGCAGGGTCAGTCCTGTCTCCAGCACCCCAGTGGGGTCCAAGCACCCTTTCTGAAGCCTCAGAGGCCCACTGGGGGTTGTGGCAGGCACTTGGGTGACAGGGACTGGTTCCCCCTCCCACTCTGCCCTGGGCACTGCTGTCCCTGGAAGCCCCACTGGTGCCCATTCCCTCCATCCTGCTGGCAGGGCTGTGTCCAAGTGCTTTTCTGTGGCAGGTGAATGACACCAGTTTCCAGCACCTGACCCGTGAGGAGGCCGTGGAGCACCTCATGGCCCTGCCCGTGGGCGAGGAGGTCACACTGTGGACCCAGAGCAAGCCGGACAGTGAGTGATGACCAGGCTCAACCTGGACTTGTGCCTCTCCATCCTGTCTCTTCTGGGCAAGCATCAGACCTGCTGGACTTGCCATAGTCCTTCCTTCCCCACAACCCCTCATCCTCTTCCAAAATGCTGATGGGAGAGGACCAGACCATCCCCATTTGTGCCCTGGCATCCTGAAGCACGGGGACTTTCTGACACCATGGCTCAGCCTGGAGAGGGCAGTGTGTGCTGGGGGGTCAGGTCCTGTTGTCTCCAGCTTGCCTGAGAAAGCCATGGGAGGAAAATGTGTCCCCAGCACCCTCTTTAGCCAGGGCTACTGTGGAGGTTCCCAGGCAGCCTCACTCCCTCCAAAATCCCTCCAGCACCCTCCTGCTCAGCCATCTCTTGCCCTGGTGGCCCCTCTCACCCTGGGCTTCAGTTTACAGGAAGATGGTCTCGTCCAACGTGGGCGACTCGTTCTACATCCGGACACACTTTGACTTTGAGAAGGACACGCCGTCGGGGCTCAGCTTCGTGCGGGGGGACGTGTTCCACGTGCTGGACACCATGTACCGGGGCAGGCTGGGCAACTGGCTGGCTGTGCGCGTGGGCAGGGACCTGCAGGAGCAGGACAAGGGCATCATCCCCAACCAGAGCAGGTAGGGACGGAGCCAGGAATGGCCCTGAGATGAGCAGAGCTGGGGAAGGCTCCCCAGTGAGCCAGGGATGTGGATGGGGGCCCAGTGAGAGGCAAGGGCTGGTGGAGCAGCAGTGGGAAGGATGAGCAGGTGAAATCCCTTCTCAGGGGTGATGGGGCAGCTGATGCTTGGGTTGTCCAAGGCCCCAGAGGGAGGACACTCACCCAGCCGTGTCACTGAGCAGTGATGTTGGCTTGTCCTGCCCCCTTCCTCAGAGCCCAGAGAGACAAGTGGGGGGTGAACCCAGAGGCTGCAGGTCATGAGCTCTCTCCTCTCCCAGGGCCGAGCAGATTGCCAGCCTGGAGTCAGTGCTGAAAGCCACATCTGGTGCCAACCCCTCCGGGGCACGGGCCGAGTTTTGGAAGCTGCGGGGCCTGCGGGGAGCCAAGAAGATGCTGCGGAAGAGCCGGGAGGACCTGTCTGCCCTCACAAAGCAGGGTCGCTACCCACCGTACGAGAGGGTGGTCCTGAAGGAAGGTGGGCACCAGGGCTGTGTCCCCATTGCCCAGACCCACCGGGCGACATCGGCCCCAGGGCTGCCCCTCTCTGGGTGCTGATGGGCTCTGCTCTGGGAGGAGTGGGCCGAGTCCCAGGCCCGTGGGCACTATGGGGACTGGGGCTGGATGTCCACGTGCTGGGAGCTCTGCCCTCACCCCCAGCCCCCCTGAGCCCCTCTGTCCTCCCACAGCCAGCTTCAAGCGGCCGGTGGTGATCCTGGGCCCCATCGCAGACATCGCCGTGCAGAAGCTGAGCAGGGAGCTGCCCGAGCTGTTTGAAGTTGCCCGTAAGTGCCCCCTGTGGAAATTGTATCCAGCAGCCAGACTTGCAGCATCCAGGACCTGTGGGAGCTCTTCCCCTCTGACTCTGTCCTGACCCTGCCCGTTGCCCCCTCCCTGTGACACTCCAACACCTTCCTGGGCTCATTCGTCCTCCCTGTCCTGTGCATCACAATCCCAGCCCAGCTCCAGATGTGCCCCTCCCTGAGGGACACAGCCCCAGTGCTGGGCAGGGCCAGGCCCAGCCTGGGGCTGCTGGACGTGCCACATCTCCCCCAGCCCTTCTAATGCCCCGTCTCTGTGTCCTGCAGCGAGCGTGCCCCGAGATGGGGCATCGTCCAAGGTCATCAAGTTGGACTCGGTGCGGCAGATCGCAGAGAAGGTGAGACCTTTCCCGTGTCCTTGAAGCCAGGTGAGGCCTGGGGGAGCCCATGGCCTCTGTCCCTGTCCCCAGTGGGGCTGACGGCCGTGCCCTGCCCCAGGGCAAGCACGCCCTGCTGGACATCACCCCCTCGGCCGTGGAGCGCCTCAACTACGTGCAGTACTACCCCGTGGTGGTGTTCTGCGAGCCCGAGAGCCGGCCGGGCGTCAAGGCCATGAGGCAGTGGCTGGCACCCGACTCCAGGAAGAGCTCCCGGCGCCTCTATGCCCAGGCCAACAAGATGAAGAAGTACTGCAGCCACCTCTTCACAGCCACCGTCCACCTCAGTGGTAGTGGCAACGCCTGGTTCCAGCAGATCCAGGACATCGTCAGGACGCAGCAAAGCCAGCCTGTCTGGACGACGGCAGAGCAGGTACAGGGCACGGGGTCCCTGCAGCGAGGCTCAGTTGGCTGGGGCTGCACAACCGTCCCCCCACAGCAGGGGTCTCAGGTCTCTGTCATCCCCACCCTGCAGGCAGATATAGCACCTGAGGACAGCCTGGACCTGCTGAACCCACCGAGCACGGTGGCCTCAGGCTACCTGACCTGTGACAGCCACGCCAACAGTGACTACGAGGAAACGGATGGCGAGTCAGGTGCCTACACTGATGGTGAGGCAGAGGATGCCTACGATCAGCCTGGGCTGGCCCGCTCCTCTGAGCCAGCACAGCTGCCCCCAGGCCATGGCCTGAGCTCCTCTGAGCCAGCACAGCTGTCCCCAAGACATGGCCGGAGTGACAAGGTGGGTCCCCCCAGACTGGTACAAGGATCTGATGGGGCAGAAGGGGTGGCCACAATGCTTGTCTCTGGGGTATAAGGGAGCTGCTGCAGGGTCCAGCTGTGCATTCGTGCTCAGCTCTGGGTCCCCAGGGCCAAACACCCCATGCAAACCCCCTGCCCTGTCCTTGACCCCTCACTGCTCTGCTCTTCCCCAGGTGCCCAGGCAGCCGCAGCAGGGTCAGCACTACGACAGCATCAGGTACCCTGTGCCCTGGGACTGCAGGGAGGGGGGTGGCAGCCAGCCCAGGGATGGGGAGGGCCCGGGCAGGGCACTGTCCCTGTCACCCAGCCTGGGCCCAACTGGGTGCCAGAGCCACCACCAACACTACTGCCTCTGCCCCCCAGGGAGTACGAGCACGAGGCGGTGAGGAAGAGGTTCACACGGGCCAGGGATGACTCGGACCAGGATGAAGGCTACGAGTGGGGGCCAGCCACAGATGTGTAGTGGCACTGCTGGCCTGTCCCCGTGGGCCAGCCCTGCGCCACTGGGCCCAGGTGACAGCCCAGGTAGTGCCAGACTGGGCTGGGCCCAACCACAAAGTGCCTCCTTCCCTTTTGGCCACGGCTGCTGCTACTGAAATAAAAGGGATGTTTGGATCAGTATGGGCCTGTCTGTGCGTGCTGGGTGGCAGCATGCAGGAGATACTAGGCAGCAGGGTGGCCTTGATGAGACCCAGCCACCTCTGCTGCTGGCTGCCCTGCCTGAGCCACCAGAGCGGGAATCAGGGCCTGGCACTGCCATGGTGTGCCACCCAGAGCTGAGCCTTCCACTGCAGCTCATGCAGTGCTCCATAATGGAGCCTCCCACATTTCCCAAAACTTTTATTTTTATGTCAGCCAAGCACCTAGGCACAGCCAGGTCAGCGCTGCCCTGGCTTCAGGGACCCAGAGAGCCCCCAAAAGGCACATCCCCAGTGGGGTCCCCGGGGCCCCAACATCCCAGAGTGTGGGGCAGGGCAGTGCCATGTTCCCTTTTGCTGCACCAAGGGCTGCAGCCCTGGGCCAGGCTGTGTGCAGAGCAGTTTCAAGGCAGCACCAGGGAGAAGCTGAGGTAGGTTCCCAGCTTGGTGCAACGGGTCCAATGGGGGGTTGTTTGCACCCCAGCAGGCCCCTGGCCAAGCCAGAGGGGAGGGGCAGGTGCCAAGAGTGCTGCTGCCCTTAAGGCTGAGTCTGGGAGCTGCTGGGTGTCCCTCAGGAGAGCCACTGGTGCACCCACACAGAAGTGTGCAGGGTCAGCACTGCTCTGGAGCTGAGCTGTGCTTCCAGCACCGTCCTCACCTGGGGAAAGGCACCGTTGGTGAGCATAAAAGCACAATCTGCAGTGACTGGATGGGGGGGACCTTTCACGTGGGGTCCCCTCTCCTCCCACCAGCAGCAGCAGGAGAGGCACTATGTGGGCACTGTGAGGCAGGAGGGTGTGAGTGGAGGGTGGGAGTGGGTGCCCAAACTGTGACACACACTGCTCAAGCTGGGTATCAGCCCCCAGAGTCTCTCACTGTGTCCTGAGTAAAACTGAAGAGGTGCAAGATCAGGTCCTGTTGAGGGCTCTGACGCAGGGCTGGGGCAGAAGGCAGAGCCAGACCTGCCACTTCAGGTTTGCTCCTGCCTGTCCAAGGCACGGCCAGTGGCTCAGAGGAACACGGGCTGCTCCTGCCCCGTCAGCAGGCGGTACGTGGAGGCTGGCATAGTCTTGATGTGGACCTGGGCAGAGAGGCACGGATCAGAGGCCCAGCCTGGGGCTGGAGGGTGCTGGTACCCAGCTCTGAGCCCAGCTGCTCTGAGGGGTCCCTGCTCACCTCGCTGACTGCCTCAGTGAGGATTTGGATGATCTTCTCGTGGGGCGTTGCCACCACGCTCTGCCCGTTGATCTCGATGATGCGGTGCCCCACGCGGATGCCGCCGCGCTCTGCGATGCCCCCGCGCATCAGGCTGCAGATCTGCGAGCGGGGAGCGCTGGTGAGATCAGGGCTGTGCCCACAGCCCGCACCACCACTGCCCCACACCCTCACAGTCCTGCAGGCTCCCAGCCAGCACTCTGGATGGGGGTGCTGTCTCCTCCAGCCCACGGGCACACAGTGAGGGCAGCCACTGCCCTGCATTGCTGCCACCAGAGCAGTGTGCTGGGGCAAGGGCTGCCCCCAGGATTTTTTCCCCCAGTTGACAGGGTGTGCAGCTGCTCCCAGCAAGCCTGGGCTGCAGAGCCTGAGCTTCTCCCTGGGGCGGCAGGAGAGACCCACATCTCCAATCCCTCTGGGAGCATCGGTCAGTGTGCGAGGCAGCTGTGCCACCCCCTCCACTGCCCACCCACCCCCTCAGCTCCCACTGGGCCTGGGAATGCCCCACTCTGACTTCACAACGCAGCCACAGCAGACCCCAGAGCAGGGAGTGGCCAGGGTCCTGAGCATGACAAATGTCACTGGGGTCACTCCCAGAAAGCCAAGAAGCCACCACCCAGAAAGCAAACGGCTAAGGAGCACCAGAGAGAGGGATACAACCACTGGTGCTGCAGGAGAGCTGAGGAGCCTTTTGCTCTGCACAGCAGAGCACTGTGACCCCTTGGCCCGGGCAGGCACAGGGAATGCAGGAGCTGGGCACTGTTCTGTGGGCACAGCCAGCTCTGCCTGTCCCTCGGGCAGACCCCCTCCCACAGGCACTCACCACGCCGTTCTCAACACAGAAGCCCAGCTGGTACTTGGAGTCGGGGCGTCGGATGACGGCCGTGGTGACAGGGGGACAGTGCACGATGTTCAGTGTCACCTCGGTCTGGTGCTTCAGCTCCTGGAGGGTGGGATGAGGCTTGGTCAGATTTTGCAGAGCTATTCAGCTCTGGTGGAGGGGCAACACAGCCAAGTTGTTCATGGGAGGGCTGAGGATTAGCAACCTGTTTTCAGTGGGGAAACTGAGGCACACACAGGGATACTGCCATGCTCAAATCAAAGGGCAAGAATTTATAAACCCAGCCCAAGACTTCGCACTCTGCCCTCGAGGCCACGCTTTCCTTGCTCTCAGCTCCTTCCTGCCTGAGAGCTAGATGGTACAACAGGTTTCCTCCAAGACAGGTGCCTGCCTCCTCTTCTAACCTCCTCCTTGGGCAGGGCCCCACTCAAAAAGTACAGTCCCCAGGTCTGTCCCTGCCTTGTCATCCCCTTCCTCCAAAGCATTCAGAGCAGGGACTGTCACAGCCCCCGTGCACTCCTGCCCCACAGCGGGGGGCACTGGGGGATCCCAGCATTCCGGCCACTCCCCACGGCAGGAAGGAGGAGGTGGCCCCGTCCCAGCTCACCCGGATGATGCTCTGGCAGGTGCCCAGGGGCAGCCCCACCAGGCTGGTCCCATTGACGGACATGAGGCGGTCCCCGATGCTCAGCTCCCCCGAGCGCTCCGCGGGGCCCCCGTGCATCAGGTTGGCGATGACCACGGTGGGCAGGATGGAGCCCCAGCCTGACTCCACGATGGCGACGCCCAGGATCTCCCCCTTCTGCTTCCGGATGCAGACCTGGGAGCAGAATGGGTGGGTTATGGTCACCAGAGCCAAGGGCACGTGCCCCAGCCCAGCACGGGTGTCCTGTGCTCACAGCCAGCTGGGATGGGGTCTGGTTTGTAAGGAGCACCTCAGCTGTTCAGGAAGCCATGGAGAGGATGGCACAGAGGTGCCAGCAGGTTCTCCACGCCCTGCCTCCCCCGAGCAGCTCTTACATCCTTGCAGTTTTCCTGCCGGGAGAAGTGGGTCAGCTCTGCGTTGTACTGCTCCTGGTCCTCGAGGGCACGGCTGTACTGGCGCGGGCTCAGCTCGCTGGGGTCGATGCTGTTGGCCTCCAGGAAGCGCTGGTAGGCCACACCGAACGCCTGCCCGATGGCCTGGGCGATGACCTGGGCCTGGGGAATGACAGGGATTGTTCCTGCCCATGGCTCAGGGCTGCAGCCAATAGCTCCCAGTGGAGCCCTGGGAGCTCCTTCCCCACCTGAGTGGGCCCCTCTACAGTGCCAATCCTCCCCTCTTTGCCCACTGGGCCCCTCTGTGCCAGAGATGCTCAGCCTGGGCTCCTGCCCTCTCTCTGTGGGGAGGGAGGGATCTCTGCTGCTGCCCCCAGCACGGACCCCCAGTTGTCACAGTGGGACAGGCCCGGGACCCCACAGCCACCCTGCCCTCCCCAGGGACCCATGTGTGGCCTCACATCAGCCGAGTGGAAGACGTGGCAGATCATCTTGTAGAGCCGCTTCTCCTCCGCCAGCTCCGAGCGCCGGGGCAGCTTCCGGCGCGCCATGAGCACCACGAGGGAGCCGATGTCGGCGATGTAGGAGATGGTCTGCAGGGAGTGATCCATCATGGCCTCCTGGCAAGGGCGACACAGGCAGGGATGTTCAGCCCTGTGGGCAACCCTATGCCCACCGGCACAGCGAGCAGGAAGGGTTCGGCCACGGGGCTGGGATGTGGCACAAGCGCCTGGCACATGCTGGGCAGAAACCATTTCTGTGCCATTGGGTACAAACAGCTCCTTCATCAAGGACTCATCCATGTCCCTGGGTGCTGCCAGGGGACAGGGACAGCCCCTCCCTCTTACTATAATGCAGAAACTAATCCTGAGGCAAAGGGCTTCCAAGACGTCAGGCCTGGGTTCCCTGGAGCTCGGTCTGGGATCCCAGCAGCATCCCAGGGCGCAGCTCGCACGGGAAGCCTCGTGCAGCCACGCAGAGAGCCAAGGACACAACAAAGGATGGCTGTGGAATGACATGCCCCCTCCCAGATGCGTGTCCTCGACCGCAGGCCGTCCCTGGGCACAACCCCTCCAGTGTGGGAACACGGCTGAGGTCCCAAGGCCAAACAGGAAGGTTCCAGCAGCCCCAGAGGCACACGGGTGCTGCCAGTCCCGCTCACCTGCGTGTCCGCAGTGAGCACCTTGATCCTCTGCGTGGAGACGAACAGATCCACCTCTGTCATGGGCTGGGACTCCCCCTCGGGTGCCTGTGAGACGATGGAGAGGTCACAGGGCCCCGCAGGGTCCCGGCCCCACAGCCAGGTATCCCTGGGCAGGTCCTGAGTGCTGTCCCACAGCCACGGGGGGCCGGGCTGGGGGCAGCTGTGCCCCCCACCCCTCCTGCACCTTGATCCTGTCCACGGCCTCCTGGGCCTGCGCCATGCGGACGCTGGTCGGGGGGTTCCTCTCCGAGACCAGCTGTGTGGAGCCCAGGTACTTTGCCCCAAAAATGACACCGTCCAGCAGATCCTCCGGGTCACAGGGGCCTGGAACTGAGGCATTGGGAGGGACTGAGCGGGGCTGCTCCCCTCCCTCTGAAAGTGGGCGTCCAACTATTACTGCCCATTATCTGCATTCCCACACACTGCGGAGCAGCTCAGTTCTTGGGACGTGGGCTCCTGGCATCACTGGGGACCAAGACTGCTTCCGTCTTCCCTCAGACACACCTGGCATCCCTTCTCCCTTCCTTCTCCCTTCCTGAGCATCCCCCCATCCTGATCTCCAAAGCACCTCAGCTTCCTCAGCAAAGCATCAAACAAGCCATCTGGAGCCTGCATTCCCACCCTGGATGGGCACAGAGACAGGTACTCCTTCCTCAGCTGGGACCCTCAGCCCACCCCCGTTCAGGGTCAGAGCATGTGGGTCCGGACTCCTGGATGCTCCTGCTGCTTGAGCACAGAAGCAACTCACCCTCTTTGAAGGCTGGGCAGGATGATGGGGGTTCCCTGTTCTGCAAAGCAACAAGAGAGCAAGTGAGGCTGTGGTTGGCATCCCAGGGATTCAGCCTGCCTGGCCCTGGAGGAGTGGCACAGTGATGGCACAGAGTCCCTGAGGCTCAGGGAAATGGGTCCCAGGGTTGGCAGGGGGGAACAGGGTCTTGGGGCTGAGGAGGAGACAGCACAGGGTCCTAGAGCCAGAGGGGAGGATGGCACAGGATCCAGGGGACGGAGGGGAGGATGGCACAGGATCCAGGGGCCAGAGGGGCTGTTCAGACCCACCAGCCTCTGCCCTGGGGCACACATGAATCAGGCAGCCATGCAAGTATCCCCCCGCCTTCAGGGCAGTAGGAGCCACAGCCGGTACCGAGGGTCTTGTCTGGGCACACTTGCAGCACAAGGCCCTGTAAGACCCGAGGAAAGAAATCCCTGGCTCCCCCCTGCCCCCAGCCCAGACCCCAGGAGGGAGCAGAGCCAAGGGACAAGTCCTGGCTCCTGCAGCCCCACCACAGCCCGGAGCACTCACGGTCACAGCGCCTGGAGGTGGTGGCTGCTCTGCCTCGGGGGCTGGAGTGGGAGGCAGGGCTGCCCACGCTGGCTCTGGGGAACCTTCCCGAGTGCCCTCAGAGGTGGAATCAACCTCGCAAAGCCCCTCTCCATAGCACCAGCTGCCGGAAGGCTCTTCCTCTGAGCTCTCTGGCCTTCCCGGCCCTTCAGGCTTCTCCACAGTGTCCGCTTCCTCCCGGGCCTGCAGCATCTCCAGGTTGGTCCCAGCCAGAACATCGGAGCGGGCCAAGGGGGTCTCGGCACCGGCCTCGGGCAGCCCGCCCTCGTAGCACAGGAGGCTCAGCAAGTCCTCCCGGTCGGCCTCGGCGAAGAGCAGCCCGTGGCAGGGCCGGGCACAGGCCGGGTGCTGGGGGCAGCAGGGACGCGTCGCCAGGCCCCGGCCCGTGGCCACGTGCAGCGGGCAGGGCCGGCACCTGCCCGGGCACCGCCGGGCTCCGGCGCCCGAGGGGGACGGCGGGCCCCGCTCCGGGGCGGGCGGGCGGTCGCACAGGTTGGCGTCGAGGGTCTCGAGCTGGGCCAGCAGCCCCTGGATCTCCGAGGGCTCGTCCTGCGCATCCTCGGCCCACCCGGCCGCGTCGGGGCTGCCGCGGGGCTCGGGGGTCTCATCCAGCTCCATCCCCGCGGGATCGGCGCCGACGGGCGCCCGAGGGCTCGCCGTGCCCCGCGGGGCGCTCCCGGCGCCGGGCTCCCAGCGGGCAGAGCCCCGCGGCTCCGCCTCCGCTTCCACGGCCCTTCCCGAGCCCTGGCACAGCGCGGTCCGCTCTCCTCCCGCGAGCTCCGGGCCGGGCCGCGGCCGCTCCGGCGCGGGGTCCCTGCGGGGCTGCGGGGCGGGGCGGGGGGCCCTGCCAGCCCCGCGCCCCCGCGTGGTGCCCGGCGGCGCCCGGCCCGTCCTCCGTGTCCATGGCGGGCGGCTCGGCGGGCTCGTCGCCGGCGGCGGGGTCCGCCTGGCAGTCCATGGCGGCGGTGCCGCTGTCCATGGCGGGGCCCGGGCGGGCTCGGTGCCTCTCCCGGTGCCTCTCCCTGTCCCGCCGGCCGGGCCGGGCCGCTCCCGCTGCCGGAGCCGCGCGCAGGCGCAGACAGTGCCCGTCCCGCCGTGCCCCGCGCCCATGGCCGCCCGGGCGCTGCTGCGGGCGGTGCCGGCCGCGCTCGGGGCCCCGGCCCGCGGCTACGCCAAGAAACCCGGTGAGGCCGCACGGCCCCGCCATGCCCTGCCCTGCCCGTGCTCCCCGCCCCGCGTCCTCACGGTCCCCCGCACCCCCCCCCAGGCTCCATCCCTCGTGCCCCTCGCTCCTGCCCCGGCTCCCTCCCTCACACCCGGCTCCCCTCGCCCCTGTCCCGCTCCCGCCCCGCGGTGCCCCCGAGCCCCGTCCTTTCCCCAGCCCGCATCGCTGTCCGCCCTGCTCTGACCCTGCCCTTGTCCCCACAGCCGCCAAGGCCAAGGCCAAGGGCGCGCCGAAGGAGGCGGTGAAGGGGCCGGAGGTGTGCACGGACCCCACCATGCTCGCCACCCACGCCATGGGGGTCAACTACTTCAAGGAGGGCCCGGAGGTGGCCCTGAAGCCCGACTCCGAGTACCCCGACTGGTGGGTGCTGCCCCGCTCCCCTCCGCGTCCCCACACAGGGACAGTGAAGTGCTCTGGGAGGAGGCAGACTGCCCCTCGGCAGCCCAGGGACCTTCCTGGGATCAGGGAGACAGGAGTGGGTGTACTGTGGATGTGGGCGTTAGGAATCTGCACATCCTGGTCGCTCATGCCCGTAGCTGTGTCCTGTGCTTGACCCTTTTTCCCTCCCTCCCGCAGCCTCACATCCTCTGCATTTCCCCCCAGGCTCTTTAAGATCCACCTCGGGCCCCCCAAGAAGCTGGAGGAGCTGGACCCTGACTCGCTTGAGTACTGGAGGCGCCTGAGGAAATACAACACATGGGAGCGCAACAAGTTGAAGAAGGGCAAGAAGCTGTAGGTGCTGCCAAGCTCAGGGCTGCCCCACGTGCCAGCACAGGTGACACTGGGACTCTCTCCTGCTTTTGGTCTCCTGATGTAAACAAGAAATAAATCTGGGGTGAGGCTGATACCCGTTATAAAGGCTGTGTAAAACCTGGGCCTTTGTCAAGCTTGGTGTGGGTCCCCCCTGTGCCAGGGGCTGAGGCGACACAAGTTCTGGGTGTGTCTGTGAAGGCAGAAGCTCAGGTTTTGGTTTGTGGAGGAGCCCATGCCACACACAGGTCCTGCTCCGTCGCTGTCTGTACCTCAGTCTAAGGGCTTCACGGGGTGGTGGGAGGGGATGCCTCCCCCATGTTGTCACTGCATCTCTGGCTGGGAGTCTTAGGGGCTGAGCAGCCTGTGCTGGGGGGCAGGAGGACCAGGCTCTGGTGGGGAGACACAGTGCCCCCTTGCAGTGCCATCCCCATGCCCTACTCTACTTTCCTCCCTTGGCAGCAGGAGCAGGGGTGCTGGGATGCCAGAGCTGGGCTGGGCTGGGTGGTGGAGGCAGGGTCTTCCTCACAGAAGTGGGGCCCTCGCTGCTCTGTCCCTGCCTGTCCTCACCTGGCTCCAGCTTGGCAAAGCCCAGCAGCTTCCCCAGCTGTGGTCCTGCCCATGTGTGGGTCTCACCTGGCTCAGAGGTGATCACCTTGGTTCACCTCCATCCTGGACTTGCTGCCCTGCAGCTCCTGCCTGGGCTCGAGCTGGGCTGTGGGGACAAGGAGCCACCCACAAGGTCCCCCCAGAGCGAGGAGGGGGCGGTGGAGCCCCTGCCCAGCCTGGCAGTGTCCCTGGGTGCCCTGTGCAGGGCCGAGGCCGTGCTGGCTCCCTGGGGGCTGTGGGTGGGCGGTGGCAGCTGCGTGCCCACGCGCCCCACAACAGGAAGGAAGGCAGAGGGAAGCAGAAGTGCTGTGCTGCAGCGCGGGGGCCGGGGGAGATTTTGGGCTGAGCCCTCATTTCCTCTGCGTGGGGCTGGCTGGGTGCACGCCCTCTGCGCTGCTGGGGCTTGTCTGGCGGTACCCTGCAGTGAGTGCCCGTCCCGCCTGGGCTGTCCTGCACCCTGCCCTCCCCTCACCACCTCCAGCGTGTCCAGCCCCCCAAATCCAGCAGCAGGTGAGCAGAGAGAGCACCCAGATCCCTGCCTTCCGTCTTGGAGCCCCCTTGCTTGGGTGAGTGTCACCCAGCTGCCCTGGCCAGCTCAGTCCTGGGGGCAAGGGCTCCTCTGGGGTGGGTTGTTGGGGAGGGACCTGAGGGGAAGAGGAAGGAGCTGTTCCCTGGGTGCTGCCCCTGTCCAGGTGATTCATGCCATGCTCCCCTTGCTGTCGGAACCTTTCCCAGGGTCAGGGCAAGCTGAGCTGGGTCCCAGCCCCAGGACCCCCATGTACCCTCCCCTGATCTCTCTGCATCCCCTCTTGGTGGCCTGGAAAGGCTTGTGCTGGCTCTGGAGAACTGGTGACATCAAGGGGGCTGCTGCTGTCCCACTGGGGCCTCTGCCAGAGGGAGAGGGGGCCCTGGGCCCCATTCTGTGTGGTCCCTGAAGGGACAGGGAAGGTGAGAGGGGACATCCCCTTTTTCCAGTTCTGTGGACCCCAATTCCATGAAGTCCCTTTCTTGGGACTGGGATAAAATGCCCTGGCTCCTTGCCCGAGGCTGGGGGGTGAGCGGGGTCCCCCTGGCTGCTGTCACAGCTCATGGAGGGAGAGCGTGTGACATTCCTGGCCGGCTGCCGGTGGCCAGACCCAGCAGCACTGGCCAGCTGGTTCCCAGCACCTCCCCAGGCTCCTGCCAGGAGGGGACCTGACTCTGGCGAGCTCATGCTGGTGCTCTCCCTGCTGAGGCACGCGGTGCCCAGCGGTGTCCAGCGGGACCCTCTCACCCCGGGGCTCACTGGCGGCTCGTCCCCTCGGTGTCCCCAGCAGGGATGGGGGACTGGAGCGTGCCCATTGGCGCGCTGGGCGAAGAGGTGGTGGCTCGGCTGTGTGAGCTCCTGGATAACGCGGGCCGGGGCTGGCGCAGGCTGGCTGAGCTGGCCGGGGCTGAGAAACGCTTCAAGTGCAGGTAGGGCTGGGGGGGAACACCGGGGGCTGTCCCCGACCGGGTGACAAAATGCCCGTGGGCACAGCCCTGCCGTGGACGGGGCGAGGGGCGCGTGGGTCCCCAGAGCCACCGCCTGGGCAGGGGGCACCGCCGAGACCCCTGGCGGGGGTCCCGCCCGGGAGGGAGGGGGCACTGACGGCCGCGGGCGGTCACAGCGCGGAGGAGCTGGAGATGTGCTCGCTGAAGGTGCTGGAGCCCCGCGGCAGCCCCACGCAGTGCCTGCTGCAGCTCCTGGCCGAGCGCGACTGCACCCTCAAGTACCTGCTGGGCTGCCTGGAGCAGATGGGGCACACAAAGGCCTGCCGGGTCCTCAGCGCCGCCGGTACGGACGGGCAGCGGGAACCGCGGGGCTGGAGGGGGCACCGGGGACGGGGCTCGGCGGGAGGAAGAGGATGAGGTGAAGGGCGGCTCTTCTTTCGGGGGGTTGTGCTCTGGTAACGGGGTCCCGGGCAGGTGGGGTGGGGTGGGGTGAGGTGGGGTGGGGTGGGGTGAGGTGGGGTGGGGTGGGGTGAGGTGGGATGGATGCAGCAGGGTGAGGTAGGATGGGATGGGGGACAGGCTGAGATGGGGTCAGATAGGATGGGATGGGACAGGTTTGGACAGCATGGGATGGGATGAGATAGGATAGAGTGGAGCAGAGTGGGTATGGGATAGATTGAAACAGGATAAAATGGGAGAGGTGGGATGGCACTGAATGTATCAATGGGACAAAATAGGATGAGATGGGTGGGACAGGACAGAGGATGTGATAGGATGGGCTGGGCTTGGCTGAGCTTGGGCAGGCTGTTGTGGGAGTGGGATGGGACAGAGTACGATGGGACAGGATAGAATGAGACTGAATGGGATGGGATGGTGTGGAACAGTGGTCTCAGCCAGCTGTCCTTCTCCTGCAGTCCAGGACATGATCCGCATCACGGTGCAGCCGGAGTCACAGGTGGTGGCAGAGGGGACACGGGTGTCTCTGACCTGCTGTGCCACCGGCCCGCCGGGGCTCGTGTACCAGTGGTTCTGCGGGAAGCGGGAGGTGAGGCCCCGCTGTGTCATGTCAAGCAGGGACCCCATGCCCTGTCCACGGTGAGGGCACCCACACAGGTAAGAGGGAGCCCACACAGGTAAGAGGGAGCCCCTGACTCCTTGGCCACCTCCTGTCTTGTAGGTGCCTGGAGCCACGTCCCCGGAGCTGGTGATCGACACGGCTGCCCCCTCGGGCCAGCCCCAGTGGTACATCTGCCGGGTGAGCTGTGGGGCCACCTTCGCCTTCTCCAGGTGGGCCCACGTCCAGGTGGAGAGGAGCAGCAGCCCCAGCTCAGGTGGGCTCCTAGATCTGCATCCCTGGCTGGCACCCATGCAGCACTGCTTGCCCTGTTGGGACCAGGGCAGCTCCCACAGGCACCGCTGGTTCCATCAGGATGGGGATGGATCCTGAGTGGCATTGCTTGCCATGTCAGTCACTGGCTCGGCCACAAGGGTCTCTGGGCTTGCTGGGGTGACAGTGCCCACAGAGGAGCCACATGCCCTGCGTCTTCCTCTTGCACACTGCCTACGCCACCCCTGGGTGCCAGGGCCTGTGAGTGAGGAACCTGGGACCTGGAGCAGCTCTGCTGAGCGCTACCATGGCCGGGTGCTGAATTTGCCACCCTGTCCCTTCCCCAGCCAGTGACTACTGCCCGAGCATGGCAGGGCTGCAGATCCTGCGGCAGCCACGGCCGTGCCGCCTGGCCGAGGGGGACACGCTGGCCCTGGAGTGCAGAGCCATCGGCAACCCCCCGCCCCAGTACCAGTGGTTCAGGAACCGACGTCCTGTGGAGGGGGCTCAGGCACCCCAGCTCCAGGTATGGTGGGACCCCCGGCACGGCACAGTGTTGGCACGGCACGCACGGCGTGGCACAGTGTGGCACAGTGTGGCACAGTGCAGTATGGCCCAACACACCACCCCAGCGGCTCCATCCCCCTGGCAGGTGAAGCTGGTGACGACGGCTGAGCGGGGCAGCTACTGCTGCCGAGTGTTCAACCTCTTCCACGAGGTGTGGAGCCAGGAGGTAGATGTGGAGATCGGTGAGGGCCCAAGACAAACCTCTGTGATCCTCTCCCTGCATGGGGTGTCCTGACCCTGCCCTGCTCCCCGTTAAGCCCACATGGCTACTCTGCAGTTTGGGGGGCTGCAGCCCATGATGGGAGGTGCTGCCCTGTGTAGGATCCCTGACCCCCCCTTTGCCACAGGCCCACGGCTCTTCACCTCTGGAGGCTCCTGGCAGGAAGGAGATGGAGGTAGGTGTGGGCAGAGAGGACAAGTCCGTGCTGCTCTGTCCACCATGCTCCCCTGGCACTGGAGGGCCCTGGCACGGTGTTTCTCTCTTCCCAGGCTTCCCAGAGTGTGGCAGTCCCGGCCAGTTGTATGGTAAGAGCCTGCCCAGGAGGTTCTGGGCCTCCTGACTGTCCCCAGTGTCACCACTGTCACCCCATGAGGCTTTGCTCGGCCAGGGGTTCTGTGGGTGCAGCATACTGGGAGAATAAATCAGCACCCCAGCCTTAACCAGGAGAGTGGATCAGCATCCTATCCCTCAACCCAAATCCCTAAGCCCAACCTCCAACCCTACCCCCGTGGTTCAGGGATCAGTGAGGCAGGGACGCCACGGGGCACTCCAATACCCAGGGACAGTGATGCTGGCCACAGCTGGGTGTCACCTCTGTGGGCTGAATGATGTGGGGACAGCAGAAGCATCCCACCCCCTTCTCAAGACCTCCCTCTCCCTTCCTTGCAGCCACGGACAAAGTGGCGCTGCTGATCGGCAACATGCACTACCTGCACCACAAGCAGCTGCAGGCGCCCATGGTGGACGTCCACGCCCTCAGTGCCCTCCTCCGCCAGCTCGACTTCAAGGTGGTCTCGCTGCTGGATCTGTGCAAGGCTGAGATGCAGATGGCTGTCAACGAGTTCCTCCTCCTCCTCGACAAGGGCGTTTATGGTGGGACAACACCTGCCAGGGCAGCTCCAGCCTGGGGGGAATTGGGGGGTTCTGTACTGGTGGAGGGACTGAGCAAGAAGCAAGGTGCTGGTGGGTCCGGGGATGTCACCATGTCACCTGCCCTCCATTCCCCCTGGCAGGTTTGCTCTACTACGCCGGGCACGGCTATGAAAATTTTGGCAACAGCTTCATGGTGCCCATCGACGCGCCCAGTGCCTACACGTCGGCGCACTGCCTGTGCGTGCAGCGGGTGCTGCGGGCGATGCAGGAGCGCCGCACCGGCCTCAACACCTTCCTGCTCGACATGTGCCGCAAGAGGTGACCCGGCCCTGCCCCCCGCCCAGGGACCAGCTGCCACTCGGGGACATCCCAGCACGGGGACCCTGAGGGAGCAGTGCAGGGCACCCCTGGGGGCCCATCTGAACCCACTGTCTTTGTCTAAATGCCCCAGAACGTCACTGCCCCTCAGAGCTGGCAAACACCACGATGGGTGGGCAGAGGGGCACAGGGCAGCCCCTGCACTCCGGGGTGCCGTGGGGTGGGTTTTGGAGGGGGGCAATTTCTGGCTCTAGCCAGCATCATTCTCTTGCAGGAACCTCAACGACGATGTCATCCCGCAGGTCGGGGCGCTGGAGGTCACGGCCAATATCGTCTTTGGTTATGCCACGTGGGTCCCCTCCCGCCATCTCCCCAGTGTGGGCAGCGAGGCTGAGTCTCCCTTCCTGGCTTGGAGTGGGGCAGGGGCTCAGCCCCCCTGCCTGTGTCTCTCCCCTGTCCACATATCCCTCCACTCAGTGCTGGAGGTGGCAGGCAAACAGCAGCCCTGAGTCCCTCACAGGGCAGGGAGGTGTCCATGGCACTGCTCAGCTTTGGCAGCACCTGAGGGCATGAAGCCCTGAGGGATTTGGGCTGCTGATGCTTTAAGCATCCAGGATCTAGCCGTGGCTCCCACCTGCCCCTGGCACTGTGGCCAGGTGGTGAGATGAAACAGGAGCCATAGGTGCCCAGCTTTGGCTTCCCCAGGACTGTCGTCCTGTTGGGGACAGTTCTTGGGGGAGTGCCAGAGCCCCCAGTGCAGCCAACTGCTGCCCCATCCCTGCAGGTGTGCGGATGCCGAAGCCTATGAGCTGAGCCAGGGCGAGCTCTCCAACGGCATCTTCGTCACCTTCCTCAAGCGCTGGCTGCTGGAGGACGAGAAGATCACTGTGCTGCTGGACAAGGTGGCCGAGGGTGAGTGGGGAGTGGTGGGGGGCAGTGACCCCCTTGGTGGCCCCTGCTGACCCCCTGTGCCACGGCAGACATGGGCACGCTGGAGATCACGAGGGGCCGGCAGGCGCTGGAGCTTCGCAGCAACCTCTCGGAGAGACGAGCTCTGACGGACCCCATCCGCCCCCCGGGCCAGGACGAGACCTCTGCCAGGAACCTGCAGTGGGCCAAGGCTCATGGTGAGTCACAGCCACCCTGTCCAGAGCTGGCACCTGGAGCAGGGACAGCCCGAGGTGCAGGGGGAGGCTGCAGGCAGCACCTGCCAGGTTCCTCCCAGCTGGAGGAGAAGCTGGCACAGAACCACCAGCCTGGAGGCAGGACCACCCTGTCAGCATCCCTGCTCTGCGGTGACCCAAAGGTCTCCTCACCTGCGGGTACAGCTCCAGCCCCGAGGCCCTGCAGACCCCAGCCCTGCTGTCCCTGTCCCCTCCCCAGTGCTACCGGAGAGCCGGCACCTCCGCTTCGACTGCGGCGTCACCGTCCAGCTGGGCTTCGCCGCCGAGTTCTCCAACATCATGATCATCTACACGCGCGTGGTGGCCGCCCCCAAGGACGTCACCAAGTGCGAGGCCAGGCTCACTGACATCCCCGAGGTGGGATGGGGCTGCCAAAGCCACACCAGAGTGGTTGCTGGGGAAGGGGGTTGGGGCACTCGTGGTGGTTTCCATGTGGGTGCCGTCCGTGGCAGGAGCTGGATGTGGACCTCAAGTGCACCAACAAGGAGAGCCCGGAGGAGGTGGGCAGCCCCCTGGCACCTGTCTGGAGCCTCGGCTGCCCCTCCTGCTGCCTCTACAGCCGGATCTGTGGCTTGCAGAAGCTGCGGGTAAGGGGTGGGGGCCGGTGTCAGGGGCATAATGTGGCCACAGCCATGCCAGGACGTGTGCCCACGGTGCCGGTGCCCTGCAGCAGGAGCTGGCCTTCACCGTGTGCCTGCAGTACCGCTACCGGGGCATGGACGACTTCGTGGAGGAGCGGCAGCGGGTGAGCGTGGGGCGGCCGCTCATCGCCAAGCTCAACCTGCAGCGGGCGGCCTCGCCCTCCCCGCCCCGCAGCCCCCTCTCCTCCTCCCCCTCTGGGAGCTGGGGGGCAACAGGCAGCTCGTGGGTCAACACCCCTGAGGAGAACCTGAGCCCTGATGTCCCCAGCTCCCACACCCTGTAGAGGGACAGCCCGGGCCCCCCCTTGTCACCACAGTGCCCTGGAGCCACATCTGTCCTGCTGGGGGGGCGGGGATGGAGGGGGCGGAGGGGACGTGCACAGAGGCGGGTTTTGGGAGGGGCTGAGCCCCATCCTGGCCTGTGCCAGGGGATGTGGGGCTCTCAGCACAGCACAATCAGGTCTGCTGGCCCCAGCCCCACATCCCCTGGCACGGCAGTGCCAGCCCCATGTCCCTGGGTATGGCAGTGCTGGCCCCACGTCCCTGGGCAGTGCCAGCCCCACAGGGCCAGCGGGCAGCCCCAGGGGCAGAGTGCCCAGAGCCCACGGCTCAGCCAGTGCGAGGCGTCGCACTGGGGCAGGGTTGGGTTCGTTCAGGCCTGGGAGAAATAGAGAGAAATAAGCAGCTTAGGGGGCAAATCCCGCGGGAGGGGATTAGAGGGGGGGGAGCAGGAGGGCTCCTGCTCTGCCACGAGGGACTGGGAGCACCCCCCAGTGCCCCCAGAGCTGCCCATAGCACCTAGTCCCCCAGGAAGACTCCAGGCACCAGCCCCATCTCGACAGTGAGTGATTTCAGGACAGGATTGGCACCTAAGGGGGAAAACAAAAGCCATTTTGCTTGGATTTTTCACAAACTCAGCCCCACATGCCATGACAGGCTTCAGTGGGTCTCCACACCAATAAAAGGGGGTTGGGCAGGAGACTCAGCTCTCCTTGCTTTGAAATGGCATTTCTGGGGTCAGAAATCTTGCCTGCTCCCACAGGAAGGGCGGCACAGCCACCGGGTGCACCCACGGGAGGGCATGCGGGGTACCAAGCGAAGGCATCCTGCCACCCTGTGCTGGGCACACCGGTGCCACCTCGTGCAGATTAGCTCATTTAAATAACTCCCACAGCCCCCCGACCCCGAGGACCCGGGGAGGCGCATCCTCATCCCGGGGCCCCTCCGCGTCCCCGCTCTCGGGCGGCGGTTGCGGGGCCGGGCTGGGGGAGCACCCTCGCCCCAATTAGGCTCCGATCAAACGAGCCGGGGGTGCGGCGCTCCCGCTCCCCGCGCCAGCCGGCCTTTGTTGGCGCTCGGGAGGCCGAGGGGTGCCCCGGGCTGGCGCCAGCCTCGGCAATTATGTCATGTGAAAAGCGCAGCCCCCATTGAGCGCGTCCCGTCCCCCGGATCAAACCCCATTACTTCCGCAGCCGTTGCTTCATTATCTGCCGGCCGGAGCCCGGCTCTGCCGGGGCGCTTCACCCCATTAGCTGGGCTGGGGGGCCGGGGAGCATCGATTATGCGTTTAATGGGTTGTTAAAGGTTTAATTGTCGCTAACGAAACAGACGAGCAGCAGCAGCCGGGGGACGGGGCACAAGGAAAAGGGTCTCGCCGGGGTCAGTGCCTCGCCTGGCCCGCTGGCATCCCGGCCAGACCCGCCTGACCCCGGGGCTCTGCGGACGTCATAGTCCGGCCCCGGGGGTCTTGGATCGGGGTGAGACCCCTGGGGGGGTGGTGAGAGGGACAGCGGGCACGCTGGCACTGAGCGGGGTCGGGGACATGGGGACATGGTGGGGACGGGGCTGTCCCAGCACAGCCCTGGCTGGTGGCTGCCGTCAGGTCCGAAGCAGGAAGATTTCTGGGAAACCATCTTGTTTCAGTGTGGGGAAGGAGAAGGTTGGCCCTCATCTGGCTTCCCCAGGGAGTTGGGACTCCTGCTCTCCCAGGACTGAGCCCACCCCTCTTGCTGTCCCAGCTGTGCTTCAGCTCCCCAAAGCCACTGTGGGCTCAGCCGTGCACTGGGGCCAGCTGGCCCTTGCTGCCGGTGAGGTGACACTGGCTGTGCCCTGAGCTCTAGTGGGGGGGAAGGCAGGGTCCCCCTGGAGCCACAAAGCCACTCTGGGGACCCCTGGGGAAGTGGCACCGTGTCACCACCACCAGCTCCCATCTGGCAGGAGCCGCTGGCAAGTGTTGGCACACCCTGACATCCCTGCTGCAGGGACCCCAGGGCTCCCAGCCTGCCCCCTCCCCTCACCAGCCCTGGCCATGGGCCACAGGGGTCCTACTGCCACCCATCCTCCCACCACCACAGTTCTGGCAGCTCTGTGCCCCTGGCACCTCTGGGGAGTGTTAGGGCAGGGGATGGTGGACACAGCCCAGGGGATGGTCGAGCAGGTGACCTCTGACGAGCCCATCGAGGCCACGGTGCAGCTGAGCCGGTCCCAGCCCACAGCCAGGGCCAGACCGAGTCACCCAGCCCTGGACCCTGCACACGGCATCCTGAGGGAGAGAAGCAGGAGAGTGCCCAGGGATGGTGCTCCCATGCCCCCAATAAAATTCCTTCCCAACAGAGGCTTGGCAGCCCCACTGTGCTAACGAGGGCACAGTGCCCAACTCCAGCATGCGGCAGCCGTTCATCTCATCTCTTTACTTACGATACAACCGTCCTCTCAGTGCCGGTGCATCTCCCAGCACGGTCAGCACCGTGCCCCAATGCAGCCAAAACATCCCCCCAGGTACTCCCTACGAAACTAGAGCTTTTCTGTTCAGTTTTGTTTAAATCTGCAGCATTAAAAAAAAATTAATAATAACAGGAAGGGGAAGGGATGTGAGGAGAGGAGGTGTCCAACCAGGGGGTGGTGCGTGGCCTGGTGGCACGGTGGGATGCCTGAGCCTCGGCCAGATTCTCAGCCAGTGCTGGTGCCACAGTGAGGCAAAAGGGCTCCCCTGGGGTGCTCCCCTGCAGCGGGGTCCTGTCAGTGCCTGACTGGCTCCCTGCCACTGCCAGTGCTGGCTTGGCGGGGGGAAGACACAGCCTGGCATCCCTGTCCAGCACCGGCTTTGGTCCTGCTGAGCACCCCACTGTCCTCCCTCACCTGCCCCAGGGCTGAGCCGGCACCGGGGCCAGGAGGTGGGGCCGGGGGCCGGAGGAACCGGAGGGGAATGTTCATCAAATGGGCTGCCAGGTCTTGTCAATGGTCTGAATGTGCTCCTTGGCTTTCATGCGGAGCGAGGCGATGCTGGAGCTCCTCTGGTCCACGTCCTCCAGCGGGTACTTGTCCACAAAGGGGGTGCCGCACTGGTAGGGCGCGGGGGCCATGGGCTGCATGCCCTGCGCCATCGGTGCGGGCGTGTTGAGGAAGGAGTGCCCGCCGTAGGGGGGCTGCAGGGCCTGGGGGGCCCCCATGAAGCCGGGGATGCTGTGGACTGTGGTGGCGCTGGAGATGGGGGATGTCAGCCACGGGTCGAGCGGGAGGGAGTTGCTCATGGGCCCCACGTTGGGGGTCATGGGGGGCCGGTTGAAGGAGAGCACGGGGGTGTCGTGGAGCTTCATGGAGCTGGCCTCCATCTTCTCCTGCCGCCTCCACTTGGCTCGTCGGTTCTGGAACCAGACCTGTGAGGTGAGAGCCAGGGTCAGCTCCACCGTGCCCAGCTGGTCCCTTGCAGTGTGCCCCACATGCTGTACTCCATGCAAGATGTGCCCCACATGCTCTGCCCCATGGGCTGTATCCCACATGGGGTGCCCCACAGGCAGTGCTTCAGGTGGGGCGTCATGTATGGGGTACCCCACTGCACGTGGGCTGCCCTCCAGGGCTCCGGCAACCCCAGCACACCACACACCTCTGCCAAAGCTCTCCCACAAGCCCCAGAGACCAAGGACATCTCTGAGGCCCCTCTGAGCCCCTGCTCTCACTGCGCCATGGAAAAGTGCACCCTGGCCCTGCAGACAGCCAGCAGCCCTCAGGACAGTGTTATTCGACCTTCCCAACCCTTGGGTCAAAGCTTTTAGACATTAAACTGCCATGGTTGCACCAAAATCCAACAGGAACCACAGGGACCAGCGAGCCAAATCCAGCAGTGACATCTGGTTCTGTGGGAACAGCTCATTGGAGCGCTGGTCCCCATGTCCCCAGGGCAGCACAGGGCACAGGGTCTGCTGTGAGAGGCAAAGGGAGAGGAAAGATGAACAGCTGGGCAGGGAAGGGGATGGGGCACAGCTCTGATGAGGATTTAAAAGCCATGTGGGTCTGGCTCTTGGGGACATGGGTTGGTGGTGGCCTTGGCAGTGTTGGAGGAACAGTTGGACTCTGTGGTCTTAGAGGGCTTTTCCAACCTGAGTGATTCTGTGATTCTCTGACTCTGGTCATTGCTCAGAGAGCTCAGCAGAGGTGTCCTTATAGTCTGGACCCCCCAGAAAAGGTTGCCTTGCCTTTGGGGCTGAGGCCTGGGGATCTCTGTTTGTCTGTGTGGGGGTTACTGCTTTGCTTTGCAGGGGTTTTGTCTCTTCTTTAGCCCACTGGCCTTTTCCCTCTCCCCAATCTCACCATGTCATTCCAGGGATGGTGGAGAGCGCACTGATGGGACCCCAGCCTCTTCCCAGGCTGTGCTGTTCCCCCATGAGCCTTTTCCTGCAGCCCAGGGAGTGAAACCTCCCCAGACTCCACTGACCCCCCATCTCCAACAAGGATATAACCCCAAATCTGTGAGGATCTTGGGCTTTCCCGGCCTTAAGGACCTGGAAGTGGCCTCAATCAGCCGAGGTTTGGCTGCTTTCCCATGTGAACAGCAGGAGGGATGGGAGCAGCCCCCACCAGAATGGGAAAAACAATCTCTAAAAACCATCTCCCTGCCCAAACGGAGCCTGTGGCCTGTGGGCTGAGCTGGGAGCCCGTGGTGGAAACAGGCTCAGCCACTGAACCCTTTCCCTGGCTTTGCCAGGGGCAGCTCTGCAGAGGGGCTGCACCCACCTCGAGCAGTGGGGACACCGAGGCACGGAGGGAGGTGTTGGGGTGGAGCTGCGAGCGGAGCCCTCCAGCACCAGGGGCTCCCTCTGCCCCTGCCCGGGCACAGACCCGGGCGCTGGGCCGGGGCTGCCCTCCCTACCTGCACGCGGACCTCTGGCAGGTTGACCTTCATGGCCAGCTCCTCGCGGCTGTACACGTCGGGGTAGTGGGACTTCTCGAAGGCGCGTTCCAGCTCGTGCAGCTGGTACGTGGTGAACGTGGTGCGGTTCCGCCGGTG